TCTTAGCTTTGGTTTAGTCCAGTTGTGCTGACTTCTTGTGTACCATCTTGTTAGTGAATAACCCTCCCCCTCTCTTCCCACCCTTGTAACCATCAAAGAATGTTTTTTTCTGTGTTTAAACCTTTTCATGAGTCCAGAACACTTTCTAATGAGCCTCTTGGACAGACCAAGATTAGCTATTTCTGTTTTAAACTTCACTGTGCTGTATCTTCCCATACAAGAGTATTGTAAGACCCTGGCGGGAACTGAAGGTTTATGGATGGAAAGAGATTACCAAGAGTAAGCGCTTACATCTGCTATGAGCTGGGCACTTTATACGCATCGACTCACTTGATTCCTCGGAACAAACCTGTGAGGTTGGTACTGTTACTCTGCCCATTTTACAGATGAGAAAACTAAGGCACACAGAGGTTAAGTAACTTGCCCAGGGTCACACAGCTGTCAAATGGAAGAGAAACATCACTGGGTGTAAACGTGGTTGGGGAAGTGCTCCTGATGAAGGCACTCTACTGATTGGGGAAGTGCAAAAGGGAGCAGAAAACCCCCTCACACAAGGAAAAAGGGAGAAGGACTTGGGGGTTTACTAAAAAAGGCAAGTTACAAGCACCTTGACTCTGCAATCAGGCAAGTAGACAATTATACCACCAAAGTGCCCCACACTGCATATGTGGTTTTATTCTTCCTATTTCTTTAATACAAAATGTGTACCTTTAATGCATTTATTTGAGTATAACCATATTATTGAAAATATTTTGAGTGTTACTCTTTCTATTTTTTATTGGGCTATTGTAATTTTTAAATATTTCTTATTTATATTATTTTTAAAAGTCTTGTTGCATTCCTGACAGCTTTTTATTCTGAAAGATGCATCACACTCATGCTCATAGCAAAATATGTGTAACTCCAGTATGGGAGACAGGGATAAATCTGGGGGGCATAAATTCACTTTGCAGACATATTTTCTGGAAAGCACAACTCCCAGTAAGCAAGGCCAGCCCTCCTGTTATTTACAAGGCGGTGCTGCAATACTCTACATGACCGCGGGGTGGCATCACTGTCTCTTGAATAGACACCTAAAGGCAGGCCTCAGTGTTGCTCCTTTTCTATCCTTGAGTCTGGGTTCTGCTTTCTCAGGTAGATGGTATTTACAGACTGGACCTGTAACTGGAAGTCATTCTTCTCCTGCATCAGGGAGACCATTTTCTCCTCCAGCTCCTTCCGGCAAGCCTCAGATCTGGCCAGTTCTTCCTTGGTCCTCTCGAAGTCCTCCTTCTTGGTGACCATCCCCTTCTCTGCCTCTGAACTCTTGAGCACGGGCTTGATCTTGAAGAACAAGTTCATCCAGGGCCAGTGCTTGACGTTCATGAATGCACGGACTTTATACTGCATACCCATTAGAGCTGGGGTTAATGAACCAAACAAAGCAAGACCTTTTCTCTACCCTCACCTGCCCCCGTGGACCCCAGGGCCCCCAGCAAGGTGGGGAGGAGGTACAAGCAGGCTTGGCAGAGCCTGTAGACTCCCAGTAAGGTTTGCAAATGAGGGGGTGGGGGAGGGGGCATGTGGAAAGGTAGCAGCAGAGGACACAACATGCGCAAGGTTTGCAGGTGAGAGAGGGCACAGGACCATCTGTGGCTCTCCCATTACCTGGCTTCCACCTCCTCTACTCTATTAAAAATACTCTGCCTGCGATTGTTAGCCACCCATCAGTTTCTTGTATTGTGGTGGCTTGCATGCTGCTGTGATGCTGGAAGCTGTGCCACCAGTATTTCAAATACCAGCAGGGTCACCCATGGTGGACAGGTTTCAGTGGAGCTTCCAGACTACAATGCACTAGGAAGAAAGGTCTGGTGATCTACTTCTGAAAATTGGCCAGTGAAAACCGTATGCATTACAATAGACTATTGTCTGATATACTGCTGGAAGATGAGCATCCTAGGTTGGAAGGTATTCCAAATAAATAGTGGCCACAAAAATGGACTCAAATATACCAATGATCATGAAGATGATGCAGGACAGGGCAATGTTTCGTTCCGCCAAGAGTCAGCACTGACATGAAGGCAACTAACAACATGGTTGACTGACGGTGGCATCCTAATTACCAAAGCAAGGAGCACCTTTCATCCCTATTTTGTTGGGCCTTTCGCCCACGTTTGAAATGTGAATCGACTCTCCCCTTTCTGAAACTCCCTTCTGCCTTTGATAAAAGAGCCCTGGTAGCTAAGTGGTTACGTGCTCAATTGTTAACCAAAATGTCGGCGGTTCAAACCCACCAGCCGCTCCTAAGGAGAAAGATGTGATAGTCTGCCTCCATAAAGATACAGAGACTTGGAAACCCTCTGGGGCAGTGCTACTCTGTCCTACAGGGTCCCTACGAATCAGAATCGATTCCACAGCAGTGGGTTTGCCTGTGTTGTTTGTTCGCTCTTCCTTCTTTAGTGATGCCATAAACCCCAGGCACTGCCTTTGGCCCACTGGTCTTCCCGCAGACCCTCTACCTCATAGAATTGATATAGTCTCGTGGTTTCTACCGCTGCCTACATCCCAGTGGTACAACTTTCTCTCCCACCCTTCATCCTCCATGGCTCCGTAGTTACAGAGCTCTCGTGAACCTGAAAACTCGCTTCTTTACTTACACTGGCCCCTTCTCTGCGATTTTTTTCGTTTCGGTGCTGGCTTCCTTTCAGTTCACCATACTAGATGCTTGGGAGTTATTCTTGACTAGTACCTGATGGCATTATGGTCCCTTATGGCAATGACAAAGTTACAGCTATACAGGGTATAAGGGAATCAGGGAGAGTAACGCTTTCACCCAAATTCCCCTCTCCTTAAAATTCCTTCAGGTAAGCCATCATCAGGGCTGGCATTTCTTCTCCTGAATTACTGAAGGAATATTACTCTTCAATATTCCTTCCAGCCATGCCCTTCTCTCACCCATCGACTATTTCCTCATTCAGGTCCTTGTCCCGTTTCACCTGGACTTCTGCCACAGCCTGGCCTTGGCCCCTCTGAGCCCTCAGGTCCTCTCCCTTCATCCCTGACAGTGATGACGGTGTGACCTGTCTGAGCTGCTAACCCGACCCTCCTGCTTGTCTCCTTACACTCCTGCCGTGGGCTCATCACCAGAAGACACAAGCTGGGCTCCTCGACGCAGCACCTGGGGACCCCATGACCTGCGTCTTACTCTGCTCCAACAACGAGCTGCGTTAGGGCTCCCTCACCTACCACCTTCTCTCAGTCGTGCTCAACTTCCTCCAGGATGTTCTCTCTTCTTGCAGACCCCAGCCCTCAACCTGGGGCTTAATCACACCAATCCCCAATTGCCCTGAATATAACTCTGACACTATACTTGCCAAAACCCAAAAACACCAAACCCATTGCCATCAAGTCGATTCCAACTCATGACTACCCCATGTGTTATGGGGTGGAATGATGCCATAGGGTTTTCTTGGCTGTCATCTTTACAGAAGCAGATTGCCAGGCCTTTCCTCTGCAGCACTGCCAGGTAGGTTCGCAGTGCCAAGCATTAGGTTAGTAGTCAAGCGTTTAACCATTCGTGCCACCTAAAACCTGAAACCAAACCCGTTGCCGTTGAGTTGATCCCGACTCATAGCCACCCTACAGGACAGAGTAGAACTGCCCCATAGGGTTTCCAAGGAGCGGCTGGTGGATTGGAACAGCCAAACTTTTGGTTAGCAGCTGGGCTCTTAACCCCTGCGCCACCAGAGTTCCTTGCGTCACCCAGGAACGTTAAAATTAACCAAGCTCACCTCTGCTTCCCCGCTCACCTGTAAGCCCCTTGAGGGCAGGATTCATTTCTGCCCCCTCCAGTGCCCTGCATGGACTCAGCACATAATTGGTGTTCAGTGAATGTTTATCCAAGAACGAATGAGTTAACGAATATCCCAAGACTGAAAACAGGAAGGAGTAATCAGCTTCCAAGCAGGACGGCGGGACCAGGTGGAGGTGAGATCTACGTCACCTCCTCTCCGTCATCTTCCTGAACCCCACTGGCATCAGGTTCCCCTGCACAAGGACTGGGTGTGTGTCATCAGGGTCACCAGCTTCTCGTCTCTCATCTCCTCCAAAAGGCCCAGGAGTCCAGCTTTGAAAAACACCTGCACGTTTAGTGGGGAGACGGGGCCCACTTAGTCCTCGGCAAGTATTCAACCTGGGGCTCTCGTGGGAGCCTGTTTCTACCCAGCCCTGACCCTTGACCTTCAGTGCCCTGGTCAGGGGACCGGCAGCAATCCAGCACCCAGGACCTCTTCTTGGTGGCTCTGGTCTCCATAATGGTTCCTCCTTGGTCGTGAGGCAGCCTGCTCTGAAGTGTGGTCCAGGCCCCACCAACACACCAGGCCTGATCCTGACAGAGCTCACATGCAGGAAGCAAAGGCAAGTCCACAAAGTAACTGCAGAGCCCACTACTGGCCAGAGCTGGAGAGGTGCCCGAGCCTCTCCATTGACTTATCTGAGAAAGCTCAGCTCCACTCTCGGCTCCTCGTTACCCACCAACTTCAGCAGCAAAACTTCCTCCACCCCAGGACAGTCCAGGAAACAGGGTGCCCCTGGGGGTCAGCAGGCTCCTCTGTGGTGGGCTGGATGTTCCTTAAGCCCTGCCTGCCCTTTCCCGGGAGGTAGAGCTTTGGAGTCAGACTGGGGTTTGCAGCTGGCCTTTGCCATTTGCAATTATGTGATGGAATCCTTCGGTGGTGCAAAACGGTTAAGGTGTTCAGCTGCTAACTGAAAGATTGGGGGTTTGAGCCCACCCAGAGTCACCTTGGTAGAAAGACCTGGCAATCTACTTCCAAAAAATCAATCCATTGAAAACCCTATGGAGCACGGTTCTGCTCTGACACAAATGGGGTTGCCATGAGTTGGAGTCGATTTGATGGCAACTGAAGCCCTGGTGGTGCAGACAGAGATTAAATGTCTGGCTGCTAACCAAAAGGTTGGCAGTTCAAATCCACCAGATGATCCTTGGAAACCCTATGGGGCAGTTCTACTCTGTCATATAGGGTCACTAAGAGTTGGAATCGACTTGATGGCAGTGGTTTTTTTTTTTGGTTTGACAGCAACTGGTTTTATCCACGTGACTTTGAGGGAGTTTCTTGCCCTCTCTGAGCCTCCACCTCCCCCACCCTCACAATACTGCGATGAGATAGGTTCCTTGCTCATCACTATCACCTCAGGATTCAATGGAATGTGTAAGGAGAGTTGGCACAGGCTCAGCGCACACGTGCTTAGTCAATGGTGGCCATTTTATAGGTCATAATTATTCCTCTCAAGTCCTTTCTATGTCCTCCTCTCTCTTCAGTTCTGCCCTCCCCTCTAGGGCTCCCTTTTTCCAGGACGCTAGTTCCCCTGTTGCTTTCTGCTGTTGCTTGATGGGGCTCAGGCTTCTAACCCAAGCCTCTAAAACAGTTGCCATCAAGTTGATTCTGACTCATGGTGACTGCATGTGTGTCAGAGTAGAACTGTGCTCCCTAGGGTTTTCAGTGGCTGATTTTTCAGAAGTAGATCTCCAGGCCTTTCTTTCAAGGTGCCTATGAGTGGACTCGAACCTCCAAACCTTTGGTTCAGCAGCTGAGCAGGTTAACTGTTTACACCACCCAGGGACTCCTGATCTAAGCCTCTAGACTCTTAAAAACCAACTCAGAGATGGAGCTCTCTTTACCTCGAACACAGAGACCTGGGTGAGTGGGTAGGGATACTCAGGCCGCCCTGAAGGAGAAAGACCCTTTTTTCCTACTCTGAGCTTCACCAGAGCTGTTCTCACCTTGGTATGGCCAAACCTGTACTGCTCCCAGTCCACGTCCATGGAGTTCAGAAGCTTTTCAGAAGCATTCTTGCTATCAATAAACTGTCCTTCTGGGATGGCACTGGCATTGAGGATCCGGTACCTGAGGACAGGGTGCCACAGTTCAGCTCTGGGACTGCAGGCGGTGGACTGTGAGCAGTTGGTAAAAGGGGACTCTGGCCACCCAGCCACGGGCCAAGCCAGGGGGGTGCTCCCTGAGGGCTGCGCCCCTGCCCTTCCCCGCCCAGGGCTGCGCCCTGGCCCCTCCCCACTCCGCGCCCTTGCTCCTCCCCCGCAGGGCTATGCTCCTGCCCCTCCCGGCTCTGTGCCCCTGCCCCTACCCTGTCCAGGGCTTTGCCCTGGCCCCTCGGCCCCTCCCTGCTCAGGCCCAGACCTAGAAAGCCGAGAACACACCTCAGCCTCACTCCAGCCCTCCACTGGGAGGCTGGTCAGCCCCAGTAATGCCTTAGATCTCTTTGGTTGTTTGGCAGTGAGAGGTACTGCGATGAGTCCAGTTGAGGGATGAAATTTCCTGAACAGATTCAACCACCAGCAAGGCCCCTTGCCTGACACCAGGCCTTCTAGAACCTTCTCCTGCTTCTGCCTTAGGAGGAAGTGGAATCTTGTACAGCTGGTCTAGGAGAGGGGGAATCTAGGGGCTGATTCAGGGCGAGGGGGGCTGTGGCGGGAGGAGGAGACACATAAAAAAGGAAGCTCCGCTGTGTGCATAGCGGGAATCCTGCCTTCAGAGGAAATGGTTCCTCTCTGACCTGCAGACCTCTGGCTCTTCTACCTCTGGAGGGGCCTCCCCTCTGGACTTCTGGGCCCGTTTGGCAGCTGGAAGGACAAAATCTAGAGCCATGGTTCTCAGCCCTGGGAAATGGGCAGTGTCTGGAGACATTTTTGGTTGTCACAACTGGTTATAGATGTCTAGTGGGTAGAAGGCAGGGATGCTAGTCCTGTGCTCACTCTTGTCATCCCCATCAAAAGATGAAGCCCACGAAAATCCTGGGAGGCTCATGAGCTCACCAAAACCCCTGCCCAAGGAGTGCCTTTGGGGAATGCAAAAGGCATCCTCAAAAAGAAAGAGAGATGCAATGCACATACCGTTGTTGGAAGTCAGCGCAGAGGATTCGGCTGGGGAATCCTTTCCTGCAGATCCGGATGCCCTTGAGGACGCTGTTACAGCACAGCTGGTGCAGCACCATCACGCCGGGGGAGAGAAGGTCCCGGGGTGTTTGTGGCTGTCTCATTGTTTGTCTTTGACTGTCCGCGGCACTGTGAGACACTCAACACACCCAGACTTGGTGGAAAGAGCTGGTGCCAGCTGTAAGAAGGAGTGCAGATGTGTGGCTGGATCTTGACTAGAGGTCTTTTGTGGATTGAATTGTTTCTCCCAAAGATGTGTATTGGAATCCCAACCCCAGTACCTGTGGATGTGATCCTGTTTGGAAAGAGGGATTTTCTTTTGTTATGTTAATGAGATCACACCAGAGCAGGGTGGGTCCCAAACCTAGTCCCTTCTGAGTTATAACAAGACTAGAGAAGACACAGAGACACTCCCAGTGGGAAGACAGACACCACGTGAGGATCGTTTACAAGCAAAGGCACCAACGATTGCTCGCAGACACCAGAAACTAGAAGAGAGGCTTACAAAAGGAATCCATCGACATGACTGGGATCCTGATTTGGGGTTTTAGCCACCAGAACTGTGAGAAAATAAATTTCTGTTAGTTAAAGCCATCCACTCATGGTATTTTTTGTTACGACAGCATTAGGTAACTAAGATAAGGTCCCACAGTACGGATAATCCCAATTTCTTGGGGAGACTCTGGCACCCCATAACCATGGGAATAAAAGCCAAAATATTGATCTTTATTCTGTTCATGGCCCTTGACTCTGTAGCTAGGCTACAGGGGAGGGCAGAATGAGTGTGGCGTGCCCCTGGAGATGCCGTCCTGCCTCTGGCCAGCTCCCCAGCCTCTACTCCAGGACGGGAAGTACAGTCTGCTGTCTGTGTCTTCAGTGGGAGCAGAGAAACAAAGACCAGGAGGAGGTCTGTGGTAGGGTGTGGAGAGGGTTGAACCCAGGCTGGTCATCTGCTGGCTGTTTAGCACCTGCTCTGGGAAATGGGGGCAGCACAGAGGCTGGGGTGGAAGAAGAGAAGGCAGATGAATAAGCCCCCATGGGGGAGGCGACATGTCACTCTCAGTACCTAGCCTGAGTCAGGCACAAAGCAAGATGGCGCTGAGAAAATTCTGCTGTCTTGGTGCTATTTGAGGGGTTAGAAGAGAGATACCGTGGCTTTTCATTGTGGGCTCCCCAACTTGCTGGAGCCACCACCCATACCGTGGTGGCTTGCGTGTTGCTGTGATACTAGAAGCTGTGCCACCAGGATTTCAAATACCAGCAGAGTCACCCATGGGGGACAGGTTTCAGCAGAGTTTCCAGACTAAGACAAACTAGGAAGAAAGACCTAGCAATGTACTTCTAAAACTTAGCCAGTGAAAACCCTGTGGACCACAACAGAATATTGTCCAACATAGTGCTGGAAGATGAGCCCCGTAGGTTGGAGGGCACTCAAAATACACTGCAGCCACAACAATGGAATGGTGCAGAACTGGTGACCTTGCTGGTATTTGAAATACTGCAAGCCACCACAGTACAACAAACTGACCGACGGGTGGTGGTTGTCATGTATAAAATGGAGATAACTGCATCTCTCTTGTAGAGAATTGTTGTAAGGACTGGAGATAATATAGTACCTACTGCCGTCGAGCCAATTCCAACTCATAGCAACCCTATAGAACAGAGTAGAACTGCCACATAGGGTTTCCAAGGCTGTAAATCTTGATGGAAGCAGACTGCCACATCTTTCTCTCTTAGAGTGGATGGTGGGTTCAAACTGCTGACTTGCTTAGCAACCGAGTGCTTAACCACTGCACCACCAGGGCTCCTTAGAGATAATATAATAGTGTTCACTATATAGTATGAGTTTCAAAAGCAGTTATTATTGCTGGTGTTTTAATTATGTGGTACCTCAGATGATTATTTCCAAGGGTAGTGGTTTGTAACTTTGGAGGAAGGGGGCTATCGACCCCCTCAAGAATCTTACGAAAACTATGAACCTAATATACCTATATACATACACACAATAGCTTAGATACAATTTCAAAGTAGGTTTCTAGATAAATACAGGATGCCCAGTTAAATCTGAGTTTCAGATAAATATGAATAATATTTTAGTATAAATATATCACAAAGCCACCAGCTGCTCCTTGGAAACCCTATGGGGCAGTTCTGCTCTGTCCTATAGGGTTGCTATGAGTTGAAATCGACTCAACGGCAATGGGTTTGGTTTTTTGGTTTTATATCACAAATATTGCATAGGCTATACTTACGCTAAGTTTTTTTGTTGTTTAACTGAAATTCAAATTTATTTGTTATATCTGGCAACCCTGTTTCATCGAGTACTTTGATGAGTGATAAGGACTGTGACCCTTTCCTCAGGGAAACGCGTGCACACGCATGCACACGCGTGCACACACGTGCACACACAGACACTCACGAAACTTCGCACACATTTCTGGGATCCCTGTTGTGAAGGTTTCTTACTCACCGGGAGTCTGGGAATCAGACACTGTACAAAGCGTGGGTGTGTGCTCCTTAGATTGGTCATCAGTTTGTTTAAATTTTCCTGGTAAGCAAACCAAAATAAACACATTTAACTCAAATGTCATTTCACTGGGCAGAAAACCAGTGGAATGTGGAAGCTTCCAAAACACGAACCCTGAACACTATGGACACGGTCTGGAAGGAAAAGCCCTTCTTCTTCCTGCGCTTCTTGCTTCCCCCAGAGTCACCTGGAAACAGACAGAGGGGCACGTCAGAACCTGCCCGCAGCACACGCCAAGGAGCTTTCTCACCCATCTTTTCCAAGCCCTGAGACAGGACTTTTGGTTTTCTTTTGAGATTTGTTTTTGTTGTTGCGTGCTTCTGAACTATCCAATTTTGGAAGCATCTGACCTTATCACTGTGAAGATGGAGGGAGGTGGGATGTGGGTGCAGCAAACTGGGAGTATTACATGCTTGGCTGCAAACAGAAAGGCTGGCGGTTGGCGTGTGCCCAGAGGCACCTCAGAAGAAAGGCCTGGCTCTCTACTTCTAAGAAATCAGCCATTGAAAACCCTATGGAGTGCAGTTCTACTCTGACACACATTGGAGTCGCCATGAGTTGGGGTAGACTCACCAGCAACTGGTTATAACTTAGACTGTCTGTATGAAAGCAGTCCTTTCCTTTAGAAATCAGACATGAGCTCACACTGAGGAACTGGTAAGATTTCAGTGTTCATATTGAAGATTGTAGTTTTTTTCATGAGTTTATTGTCTTTTATTCTTGAGTCCCTGTTGATCTCTTAATGAGGGAGTATCTGAAAGTTAACAGAACTGCATTGTCTCGGCATATTCATTCCATAAGTCAGTTTTTTTTCCCCTTTTCTAAAAGAAACTATTCAATCTGACATTTTTATTTGGAGCTGGGGACATTCGGTTGCCTTTTTTTCTGAATGGCTTATTCCAGACTTAGCTTCCAATTCTTAATCAGGATTCAGTCTTGGAGGAACGTCATGTCTGACTTTCCCCAGCCTCCTCTCACTCCACCCTCCTTATCCCCAAGGTCTAGCAGGGATGCATGTAAGCGGGTGGGGGGAGAGGGGAGAGAGGAAAGCCACTTCCACAGTCCCACATCCACATTGGGTCTTACATTTGGATTGTCAGCGTTTTTACTAAGTGAGGCTATATAACACAGAGCTATCTTGACTGGACTCAAAGAGGATGATGTCTATCATTCAAGGTTAAACTGGTGTCCATTTATTATACTCCACTACCCAGAGTTCACTAGAAATTAATTTTTATAATCTTTTAATTATCTAATAAATGGCCAGATTAGTTGTCCTCAAATCGACTCTGACTCATGATAATCCCGTGTGTCAGAGTAGAACTGTGTTCCATAGGGTTTTTTTAAAAAAATAGTATTTTATTATATTTTTGGTGAAAGTGCACACGTCAAAACAGGTTCCTGTTCAACAATTTCTACTCATATTGATCAGTTACATTCTTTTTTTTTTTTTTAATTATTGCACAGGGTTTATTTGTTTTTCAAAAGTAGAATAACTATAACAACTACACTGATCTACTGTGGCTGATGTGGTCAGTGCCCCATCCATATTTCCTGGGATCTCAATAACATTTTTTTTTAATTTTGTTGTTGTTGTTGAGAATTTATATAGCAAAACATACACCAATTTAACCGTTTCTACATGGTTACATTCTTCGAGTTGTGCAACTATTCTTACCCTGCTTTGCTGAGTTATTCCTCCCCCACTAACATAAACTCATTGTCCCCTAATGTTCCTATCTAATCTTTCGAGTTGCTCTTGTCACTTTCATTTATATAGATAGTTCTTAAAAGAGCATAATGCTCAAGGCAGACATTTTTTACTAGTTAAGCAAGACTATTATTTGGTTTTAAGAAGACTTCAGGGTATATGTTGTTTAAGGTATAAAGCTTAACTCAGGTCAACAGTTTCAGGGGTTCATCCAACCCCCATGGCTCCAGAAAGTCTGGATTCCATGAGAATTTGAAATTCTGTTCTGCATTTTCCCCCTTTTAATCAGGATTCTTCTATTAAATATTTGATTAGAATGTTCAGTAATGGTAGCCAGGCACCACATCCAGTTCTTCTGGTCTCATGGCAAAAGAGGCAGTTGTTCATGGAGGCAAATAGCCACACATTCCATATCCTCTTCCTATTCCTGACTCTCCTTCCTCTGTTGCTCCAGGTGAATAGAGACCAATTGTCATGCCTTGGATGGCTGTTTGCAAGTTTTTAAGACACCAGGCACTACGCAATAAACTAGGAGGTAGAACAGAAGCACTAAACACGTTGTTAGGCCAATTAACTGGGCTGTCCCATGAAACCATGACCTTAAACCTCCAAACCAAGGAACCAAATCTCATGAGGTTTTTGGTTGCACGTAAGCAGCCTTAACAGCTACTTTTTTTTTTTTTTGGTTATTGTTGTTGTTGTAAATAAATCTATTATACAACTTTTGCCGGTTCAATTTTTTACAGGTATACAACTTATTGACAGCAATTACAGTAATCAGCTGTGCAACCCTATCCTTAAGTAATGTGATTTTTCCATCACCGTTAACCTCCCCTTCCCCTCTCCCTCCTGCCCCTCGTAACCACTAATAAACTTTGGTCTCTATACATTTGCTTTTTCTTGTCTTTTTATATGAGTGAGGTCATACAATATTTGTCCTTTTGTGATTGACGTATTTTGCTCACCATAATGTCCATACAGTTTTCAATGGCTGATTTTTTTGGAACTAGCTCTCCAGGTCTTTCTTCTAAGGTGCCTCTGGGTAGACTCAAACCTCCAACCTTTGGTTAGCAGCCAACCATGTTAAATGTTTGCACCACCCAGGGACTGTATTTAATGAACAGCTTGATTATATTGCATAAGTTTCAAGCTAAAAAGATTAATTTATTAAATGTATGCACTTAAAATGGTCCATAATTTTTTTAAAGGAGTCCCTGGGTGGCGCAAATGGTTAAGCACTCGACTACTAGCCAAAAGGTTGTCGGTTTGAAGCCACCCAGGGGTGCCTTGGAGGACAGGCCTGGTGATCTGCTTCTGAAAGGTCCCAGCCTTGAAAACTCTATGGAGTAGTTCTACTCTGCACTCGAGTTGGAATTGACTCAATGGCAACTAACAACAACAAGTATTAAAACCCTATCTTGACAATACTTTAAAAAAAATTTATATATATATACATATATATACTGGGAAACTTAAAAATTGGTAGTGGCTGATATCACCACTTTGGAAAACAGTCTGGTAGTTCCTCAAAAGGTTAAACATAAAGTTACCATATGACCCAGTAATTCTACCCCTAGATCTATACCCAAGAGAAATGAAAACATATGCCTACATAAAAACTTGTACACAAATGTTCATAAGAGCATTAGTCACAATAGCCAAAAAGTGGAAACAATCCAAATGTCCATCAACTGACAAATGGATAAACAAATATGGTATATCAATACAATGGAATATTATTCAGCCATAAAAAGGAATGAAGTACTGATATATGCTACATCATGGATGAACCTTGAAAACATTATACTGAGTGAAAGACGCCAGCTACAAAAGCCCACATATTGTATGATTCAGTTTATATGAGATGTCCAGAATAGGCAAATCCAAAAACACAGAAAGCAGATTCATGGTTGCCAGAGGCTGGTAAGAGTTGGGAATGGGGAGTTATTATTAGTGGGTATGGGGTTTCTTTATGGGGTCATGAAAATATACTGAACTAGACAGTGGTGATGGTTGCACAACCATGTAAATATACAAAAAACCACTGAATTGTATACTTAAAAATGGTAAGTTTTATGGTATATCAATTATATCACCAAAAAAAAAAAAATGATGCTGGCTATCTTTTCCAGATTTAGAATCTCTATAGAACTTGGTTTCTTAAGGAAGAGAGAGAATGAGAATAGGAGAAAGAAAAATAGAGATCATAGATAGATAAATCAAACTCAGCCTGAAGTTCATGTTTGACTACTGATTGTACATGAGCAGCACTGAGTTATGAGTCATTACACAGAACTTTTCGCAGTAAAAAAGAAAAGAGAGAGAGAGAGAAAAGATGAAAGAACTTCACCTGCTTCTGCACCAGCGTAGCTGGAAAACAGAAAGGACAGCAGCTTCAGTGAAGACTTCTGGTACAGCCCAAACACAGTCTTGTTGAGCAGGTCCTTGTTCTTGTCAAGCCAGCCAGCACTATTGTAGTTCACGGTGCCGGCGTAGTGCACCAGCAAGAAGTGGGCCTCGGCCTTGCCTTTGGTGGGCTTGGGTTTCTGGAAGTTGCTGGATTTGCCCAGGTGCTGGTCATACAGCTTGTTCTTGAAGGAAGTGTCTGTGGCCTTGGGGAACATGCACTCCTCTTCCAGGATGGAGAAGATGCCCATGGGCTGCAAGGAGGACAATAGAAACAATATCTCAGCATTTAATCTTTCTTACCAATGTTCGGGGGCAGCGGTAGTTCAGTGGTAGAATCCTCACCTTCCATGCAGAAGCTTGGGTTTGATTCCTGGGCAACGCACCTTAAGTGCAGACACCACCCATCTGTCAGTGGAGGCTTAGGTGTTGCTATGACGCTGAACAGGTTTCAGCAGAGCTTCCAGACTAAGATGGACTAGGAAGAAAAGTTTGGAGATCTCCTTCCGAAAATCAGTGAAAACCCTATGGATCACAATGGTCTGATCCACAACTGATCATGGGGATGTGGTGCAGGACCAGACAACATTTCATTCCATTGTGCATGGGGTC